TTTGATCTCTCCTTGCGTTTTGGTGAATAGCTTTGGACTCAATATTTGTAGATTTCAAATGCTCTTGCTGGAATTTTGCACCTCCACACAGGATATGTGGCTGGTGCTTTGTGCTTGACATATGATGCTTCACTAATTGTCATGTTTGAGATGGGTTCTACCTTAGTTTTGTATACATGAGTAGCTTTGTTTAAAACCACATTCACATTGCTGATAGACAAAACAAGTGCAAGTAATCAAGTACGGTCAGAAGTACCATCTAGCATTTAATTATTGAGAAAGATTCGTATGGAAATTTGCTTATGAATTGAGTTCCTTTCTTTTTTTTCCTTTTGTTTTTGTCATGTCGTGCTGAATTAATTGTGAGCATGCTTGGGCCCCATTTATTACTTGTGGTTCCCCTTTCCTTTTATTCCGTTTTAAATGTTTATTGAACAAACACACAGTAAAGAATGTTGAGAAAAATCTAATATCCCCATGTCCCTTGCAGTACTACTTTGACCCAAACTCAGGTCGTCGCTTCCGGTCTAAGATTGAAGTTCTTTACTTTCTCGAAACAGGAACGTTAAGGAAACGGAAGAAATCTTTAGATGGCAATGCGATGGTGAGTCGAAAGCTAACACTCCTTCTTTAGCACCAAATAGATATTCAGATATTCTCATCAGTTTTCCACTTTTACTGATTTGCAACTTTGCAGTCTGCTGATGGCTCGGAAGAACCAAAGAGCAAGAAATCTTCAAGCAATGCTAAATCTGCTCCTTTAAACTTCGATTTCTTCAATGTGCCTGAAAAGGTTGAGTGGGTTCTCACAGACCCTTCTCAGGAGGCCTGGACGCCGTTTATTAACAACGAGAAAGTACCTGAATCGACTAAACGTGAATGGGTAGCAGCCTTTCAACTCCTCGGGCGATCGAAAGTCTGAAGGTTGAAGGGAAGTTGAACCCTTTTGGACAATTTTTTTTGGGAACAGCCATCCAGGCAAGAACCATCATCATCCCTTCCTCCCTCCCTCTAATGGCTTCCCATCTGCAATTCTTTTGGTCTTTTTTTTTGGAAGGAGCAGGTGAGGTTGAGGGAAGTGTTGTGAAATCCAGATTTGGTTAGTAAAGATTACTGCAAAAAAGAAACAAAAACAAAAATCATGACTCTCTATCTAACTGACTATGCCTTGGACCATGGAAGAAGTGTTGGATCAAATTATGTAGGTGGGGGCTGCTGCTCATTTCACATTCTGAATCCAATGTGCTTGAATGAGTATCTCTATTTTCAATGGTGTCTGTCTGTATTTTTTTGTTTTGTGTTTGATTCAGAATTGATATTTTTGTGGTAATAATATTGATGCTGCATGGGATATTGTGTAGGAAATGGAATGAACTTGACCAATTTTAAATATAATGTTTGGTCAAACACAAGAATCTGCAATAAAAACAAAGAGGAAGGATAAGGATAGAGGAGGAATTGAATTTTGTCTGTTTTGCAGATCAGCCCTCCGTACTTCCAAGATTTTCAAATAAATGCCATGTGCTTTGCTAATTGTAAATTACACGTTTTTTCATAAAATTTGTCTAACTTTAATCTCAAAAGCTGTGATTAACCTCTTAATTAACCTAACCTTTCAACTAAAAGAAATAAAAAATAATGATAATAAGATGACATTTTGTAATTTAACTTGCGTCTTTTTGAATGAGTTATGCTTCATTTGAAGTATCTTTCTACTCTTATGGAGGAAATTTTCCATTTCGATGAAGAACGTGGGAGGGAGCTGAGAACATTTTTCTCGGTCAGATAAATAGGGTGGGGACAAGTTATATTCTATGTTCCTGCTTAAAATACATATATATATATATATATTTATTTATTGTTCTATTTGGGCTTTCCGTTTTGAATTTTTACTAAACATTTTTAAAACGTGTATGGTATGGTAGAGAGAGATTTCCACGCGCTTATAAAAAATGTTTTGTTCTCCTCCTCAACTGATGTGAGATCTCATAATCCACCCCGACCCAATGCTCTCATTGGCACTTGTTTCCTTCTCCAATCGACGTGGGACCCCCCAATCTACCCCACCTTTGGGGTCAGCGTCCTTACTCGCACAACGCATCGTGTGTACTCCTTTGCGGCTCAACCTCCTCACTGACATATCGATTGATGTTTGACTGGTACCATTTGGGCATGGGCTATTACATTTAAAATAACTATTTTTTTTAAAAAAAATAATAATAGTAATAGTAATTTTCTAATTTACAAGCATTAAATATAGGATGTATTCATTCCTTTATTATTATTATACGAAAAAAAAAAAGTAAAATAGTAAAAAAGAAAAAGAAAAAGAAAAAGAATTGATTTGAGTGTCAACAGAGATGGTCAAACCATTGTCACACTCATTAACTCCTCCACTCAATCACCTAATTGGTCCTCTTATTTTGATTTCAATATTCTACATTTGACTATTTTAATGTCTTTCAGAATTCCACTTTTTTTCTTTTAAATAAATAAAAAAAAAAAGTCTTCGAAATTCTTTTTTCTTATATATATTGCATTATCAGAAAATGGTGACATATATTAATAATTTCTTTTTACAATATTTAAATCTTTATAAAATTAAATTTTAATATAATATAAATATATAAAAGAAAATATCCCCAAGTAAAGAATAATAAATTTGTTATTTTATATTATTTAACCTCCAAATATCCATCCAACAAATAAACGCTTAGTAACCTACTTAGGTAGTTGAAAACACAACTAATGGGTGCATTCCAAAAGTTTTGTAATGATAAATAACCACTTGGACCATTTCAGGACCATTTTAGGGTTCCAATAAAATTATTGGGAGTCGGTCAGTGGAATAGAAAGAAAAAATGAACCTATTCCAAACGGTGATATGGAATTAAAATTTCACCGTTCTTCGCAAGATCTGTTCAAAATGTTGAGACTATCAAGTTTGAGAATTTGATTTGTAAATCCACTGAAGTAGAACAAAAGTTATATTTATTAGACCGAGAATTTATTGAGTGCATACTATTTTCTGGGTGTTGGACAAATATTGAATTTTACTTAGGTTTTTTTTTTTTCAAATGACCCCATTAGAGTTTTGGTTTTAAGTTCGAATATGCACGGTTATTGGTCACCAATTTTCATGTTTTATTTTATTTATTAAAAAAAAAAATTGTTGACTTTTGTTGACTTTTGTCATTCATGGAACCTTTATTGTGATTGTTGGGTAGCCTTTTTACCATGCTTTTTTTTCTTTTAAAAATTTTAATACCCAACCAAATACTTTCAAATTTTCATTTTTTTAAATATTATTTTCATTTTTTTGATTTCAAATATAGTATTAATACATTGATGTATCTGTTTATGTGACTATAACATAGTTCTAATATTTCATTTTATAATATTAGAGTTCGAGATTCAAATTCTCAAAAAAAAAAAATTATTGCATTAGTAAAAATCGATTGAGTATAATGGACTGACACTCAAATATTTTTTTAAAAACTATTAATGTTTAAAAAATATATCTTAAAAATAGAGAATAGTAAGGAGTTGATGTTTGAAAAATGTTTTAAAAATTCTCCACATGGTTGACTGTTGCACAATAAAAACAAGAATAGTCAACGTCTATTTTTTTATTATTAAATTAAGGTTTAAATTCAATATAGAAACTCACAATTAAGCATGATTTGATAATTCTTTTAAGAAAGCAAAATTTAACCAAAATGAAAATAATATAAAATTTTATTTAAAATAGGGTTTAAATGGAAAGATAATAAAAAAAAAATGGTTTTAATTGTTGTAATGGAAGATGGGACAAAAGACATTAATGAATGTAATAAATTCCCACAAGAATTAAAAGGATATGTTTTAGTGTCCTTCCAACCACATCACACACCTAATGCTTTGCCATTAAATGTTCTTCCCCATAAATATTTTAATATTTATTTTATTTTTAAGAAATTATTTATTATCTTTCGAATATGGTTTAACTAAGGTTATAAGTTCTTAATTTCTACGCGAATAAAAATCAAGAAAAAGAGGTTCACAACATATTCGAATAACTCAAACTATGTAAACGTGAAAGAATTTGGTTTGAAGTTCATAAAGATGAAAAGTTGGAAAATGGCATTTAAATTAGGAATTACTCATGAAACAACAGCTGTTGAAGAAAACATAAAGGGTGAATTAAAGAGTAGCGTTTTCAATTATTGGATGTGCTGAGCTAATAAATGTTGGTCGGCGCTTGTAATTCCCGCCTCACAACCACCCATTAATCCAAATCTAACTCATCTGACCACATAAAAGACAATATCTGCTAGTAATGAGTTTCAGTCGTTACAAATGGTGTCAGAGTCCATTGAGTAATGTGCTAGCGAGGAGGCTGAACCCCAAAAGGGGTGGATACAAAAGCGATATGCCAGCAAGGATGCTGGACCTCCAAAGGGTGGATTGAGGGGTCTCACATCGATTGGAGAAAAGAATGAGTGTTAGTGAGTATGCTGGACTCCGAAATGGGTGAACTGTGAGTTCCCACATTAGTAGGGGAGAATGAAACATTCTTGTAGTGAGGAGGAAAGCTCATGGAGGACAATATGTGCAATGAACTTGAGCTGTTATTCATGGTCTTCACCCGAAAATCATGTAAAATCATTTCAAAATCGTTCCAACTCTTAAGATTTATAAGAACTAGAAATGAACTAAGTTATGATACTATATCCTAATATAACAAAATTGTCCAAACATTGGCTACTAAAACAAACACAGGGTTAATAGAAATTGGCAAAACCAGATGTTGGAGTGATCAGTGATGAGGTCTTTATGACTTTTCGCCGCTTCCATGGGTACTGGACGTGGTGAAATCAAATGGTGGAGAATCGTATCAAATTTCTGCACCTCGAAACCTTATCTGTTCGATTTCTGCTTCTGATTTGACCAGGTAAGAGCTTCCAAAAAGATGAGATATCAAAAGGGTCATCAAAAGAGGTTGTGCGGGGCCACGGACTGAGCGCCATTAGTGCAAATTTCTCCACCTTTGCGCGCACTGGACCCCTTTCAACCATCTCCCACTGCTCCATTCTTTATTCATTTCTTCTATCGGACACTGTTCCTCAATTTTCCCAGTCAAAGTCTCTCAACCCTTTTTCTCCTCCCTTTTCTCTCTTTATAGGCCCTTCAAGATTCCTTCCCAATTCGATTCCACCCTTTTGAATATTTGTTTCCCCTCTTATATCTGCCCTCTCTACTTCGTTTGTTGCTGAGATCTAAGTCTGTGGGGGTGAACTGGTAAGAAATTTCTCCTTCCCCTGTTTGTGGGGTTTTAGAATTTTGTTGTTATAACTTGAATTCTGAAGCTGTGATTGCATGCAAGTGTGTTCTTGAGGTTTTTTTACTCATTTTAGGTGATACCCATCTTTCTTTGCTTGTAAATCTACATTTTAGAACTTAGATCTGCAAGTTTTTTCTCTTTCTTTTTGGTTGCTGTTGAAATTTCTTGCTGTAAGCCGGTGAATTTTGTGATACGCAGTAAGAAAACTGGTCAGGCTGCGAGATTTCGGGCCAGTCCCATGGGGATTTGCTTAAGCGCCAGAATTAAAGCTGTTAGCACATGCAGTACTGGTACAGGTAGAGCTCGGAAGCCATGGAAATGGATATCTTGCCCATTGTGTTTACTTTTAATTGTTCATTTATTGGGAAAAGAAAGGGGGGAAAACATGTTTTCATGAATTTACTTGACAAATGGTTGGAGATTCGTTCTCCAGAGCTTAGGCATTTGTTGTCTTTTGTATGAACTTAAATGATTAAGATCTGTTAGTCAACTCATTAGCTCATAAAATGTCATGTTTCTAAATTTAGCTACTATGGGATTGTAATGGTGGAGTTTAAGATTCTCTGATGAATTTCAATCTGGTATTAGAATGTTCTTACACGAATCGAAATTGGAGAAGCATGCCTGCTGACGCTCAAAATTGTATATGCAATGCAACTTGATTTGGCCATGTTCAGATATGGATATCTTACATTTAAGTTATATGCAGGAGGAACTTTAAATGGCGTTAGTAAGGATGCAATCGATATCTCTAGTTCGAGTAGCAACAGCAAATTCTCATCGACATCAATATCCCGGAGTGAGGATGAGATCCTGCAGTCATCAAATCTGAAGAGTTTTAGTTTCTCCGAACTTAAGCTAGCCACTAGGAACTTTCGCCCCGATAGTTTGTTGGGGGAAGGTGGGTTCGGTTCAGTTTATAAAGGTTGGATTCATGAGGAAACATCTTCTGCTGCCAAGCCAGGGTCTGGCACAGTTGTTGCGGTGAAAAGGCTTAACCTCGATGGTCTCCAAGGTCACAAGGAGTGGCTGGTAAGTCAATGTCAGGCTGCTTTATCTTTGGCTTCAACAAAGTAAGCTTCCAATCCGCTTAACGTTTAGTTTCTTCGATACTGTAGGCTGAAGTCAATTTCCTGGGCCAACTTCATCATTCTCATCTAGTGAGACTGATAGGCTATTGTTTGGAAGACGAACACCGGTTGCTGGTGTATGAATTCCTTACCAGAGGCAGCTTGGAGAACCATTTGTTTAGGAGTGAGTCGTCATCTCCTACCCCGATTAGGCAAAAAGGACCCGTTGCTTAGGAATGTCGATTTATTCATATTATTGCAACTTTTTCTTCAGGGGGGCTGTATTTTCAACCTCTTTCGTGGAGCCTTCGCTTGAAGATTGCTCTTGGCGCTGCAATGGGGCTAGCTTTCCTTCACAGCGACGAAAACAAAGTTATCTATCGCGATTTCAAGACATCAAATATACTCCTTGATTCAGTAAGTATAGTTGCAGTGTGGCAGGGTTTCGATTTTAATTATAGGCTGTGTATCTGAAGACTCTATTCTATGATGTGGTTACAGGACTACAATGCAAAGCTCTCCGACTTTGGCCTTGCTAAGGATGGACCGACGGGCGACAAAAGTCACGTCTCCACCAGAATTATGGGGACGTATGGATATGCAGCTCCTGAGTATCTGGCCACAGGTAATACTCGTTCTAACGTGGAAAAGAATTTCTTTTAGTGATATCGTCTGTTGATCTCTTACTTCATTCGAATGCGACTGCTAGGTCATCTTAGTGCAAAGAGTGATGTGTATAGTTTCGGGGTGGTTCTGTTGGAGATTTTATCTGGTAGAAGAGCAATAGACAAGAATCGACCACCGGGGGAACAGAATCTGGTCGAGTGGGCCAAACCCTTTCTTGCTAATAAACGCAAGACTTATCGTTTACTTGATGCACGAACCGAACGCAACTACTCCATGGAATCAGCTAGTAGAGTAGCAATTCTTGCATCACGTTGCCTGTCTGCAGAACCGAAGTTCAGGCCGAGTATGAGAGACGTTGTAACGACATTAAAGGATCTCCAGGATTTGACAGGAAATGGAGGTAGTGGGAATAGAAGATGCAGGAGTGGTAATGCACAGCACAAGGAAGTGTCTGCTTATCCTAGACCATCTGCATCAGCTCTGTTTACATAAGCCGGGGTCGAGGGGAGCGGATTGTATAGTGTTCTTAGTTCATTGCAACTAATGTATATTAAAAGTTGAGATTCCAAATTGCCTTTTCCCTTTAAAAAACATTTCCACTCTCACCATTACCTTGGGTGCGTCTCCAAGCCCCTTTTTGTAATTTTGCTTCTTCATTTTCCCCCAAACACAAGTGAAAAATAATTTTCTTTTTAAAAAATAAATTAGCCAATAAAAATGTGGGCTTCAAAAGAATTGCCTCCCCCACGGCCCACCCATGTGCCCTGCTGCTGGCTTGATGTGACATTCATGTGATTCAATTAATATGGTAAAGAAATTTAGCAATCCACCCTTCTTTTTATAAAATTAAATATTCACGTGACATATTTTAATTAATAGAGATACATAAATGTAGGGAAAATGCATTAAATTAGTAATTAATCTACTATAATTATAAATTTTAAAAATAAAAAATAAAAAAGTGTCCAAAATACACTTCCCAGTTGGAAATTGTAGTACATAATTATAACAACGGCAACATTAAATTATATAATTCAAAATATTATGATATATAATTTAGAACTGTGGGCCACACTTTTGTTCAGCCTCCCCAGCCTTCTTGCTTCCTTCTTCCTCTGATATTTACTAACCCGGAGTCCTCCAATCATGTATTGCCACGTCAACCCCTCTCGTCTTTCTCAAACCCTAAAATTCTTGCCGATGAAGGTCTGGCCGAACTGCCAATTAGGGGGTGCCACGTTGTAGGTGGTGGAAGTCCTTCTGTCACTGCCTGTGACTCTGAATGAAAGGGCCTGGCCCACTAACACGGCGTTTGACTGCCAGTTTTGACCCCAGTTACGGCTCATGCTCATCCAGCCTGTGCGCGTGCCTTTCACGCTCACCTTCACGATATCCCCTGCACCTGCAACGTTGGTGATTAAAACCAGGTTGAAGTACCGGAACCCGTGGATTGTGTAACGTATCCCCCCTTGCTTCCGGCATGGCACCCTGCGTAATTATGCTCCATTAGCCCTTAACTAAACCGTCATTTCACATATCGAAAATATATTTAAACTCTTGTAATTTTGTTTAATTAGTAATATCAACTGAGAAAATATATTTAAACGATACGACGGAGGGGGGGAAGAGGCTGACCGGCGGTAGGCGACGGGGACGATACCAGCGCGGTACTCGGCGATTTTAAGGAACATAGGCATCGCCAAATCGAAATGTGGCCGAGGAGGATTACACCAACCGCCATTGTCACTGGGCAGAGCAAAATTAGGCGGGCAGAAGTTCGTGGCCGTAATCATAATCGAAGGGCTGCCCGAATGGCACCATCTCGGGTCATTCGCACATTTAATTTCGAAACAGGCACCACAGCTCAGCCCATTGTTGAATAGCGCTGTGCTCAACGCCGCCGTGTTCACGCCGTAGCCTTGGCTGTACAAATTCCCATACCCACAAGCCCCACCTGCACAAATACCCAAAACCAAAAACCAAATCAATATCCCATTACCCATTTGAACTTGAATCTCATTATTTCACTGCCCCGGCGTACCCATTGTGCCGGAGGCGTCGGAGCCGCCGTAGAAGGTGGCCAGGGCACTCTCCCAAGGACCGCCGGAGTAGACGCCGGGGATTCTCGCAGTAGCCGACCACATTGTAGAGATAAGAGATGCAATACAGAGGAGAATCGCCGTTGTAGCCATTTTTTTTGGTTGAGAGCAATAACTGAGAAGAGAGAGAAAGTTAGAGTGAGAGAGTGGGAAGTGGGCATTTGGGGAAGAAGGGATAGGCGAGTACTTATGGAGTAAAACGGGATTTTGTGAATTTACGAATATATCCCTCATTTAATGTCAGAATCTTTTGTGTATGTTCGTGTGAAAACAGTTTCTAGGACATCTTTTCTTTTTCTTTCTTTTTTTCACTACAAAAGTAAAAAAAAAAAAAAATAATTGAATTTGAGGCCTTAATTTAGTAGATCCATGTGATGATATATTAAAAAATATAATATAGTATGTATAATTTTTTACGTTTAATTTACAAACTTTATACACTTATAATCGTTTACTCTAATGCACGTATTGATTATTGAGACATTTATTGAAGAAAATAAGGCAACTTAAGCCACTAGCACGAACGAGCAAGCAAAGGCCCTAGTTTGAGACGATAATCATGCAACAAATTTGAGTGAAAGCAGCTTGATTCATGTCAAGACAAAATGAAGCGAGATAAAAGGGCAATGACGTGAAAATTCACAATTTGAGAAAATTATGTGTAATTCTAGACATACTCGATAAACTAGGACCCACGCGACACAAGTAATAGGTGAAGTTGAAATAGATATGTATTTAACTGTGGAATCAAGCTTTTTTTGGTGACTAAATAATTACAAACATAAATAAAATTTAAAAACTAAATCATATTACCCATTAAAGTTCAAATAATCTTAGTAAAAAGTAAAATATTGTGACAGCTTAAAGTTCGAGCGTTTTTTATGATTGAGTACAAGGTTGCCATAAAAATTAAAATATACTTGATTGTAACTTCTTTTCATCCTCGCATTAACCACATGACGTGACATTAATTAGCAATCGACTTCTTTAATTTTTTTTTTAGTAAAAGACATTTTCTCGATACATTATTCTTCTAGCTTATTTTGTTTTACTTGCATAATTGTCACGCTCGATTATATGAAGCGTAAGTTACTTAAAATTACATTAATAACATAATTTTTTCACCAACCCTTTTTAATTTTGAAGGATAATAATAATTTAAGAAAAAATGATTGAAAAAAGGGGTTTTATTTATTAGAAAAAACAAAAATTAGATCTAATGTGAAATTTAATTAATAATTAGTTTTCAATAATATTTGTGTATATATGAGATAAAATGGAAATGAAATGGAACCCAGCTATATACGCTAAAGCTCCAACATTCTCTCTCTTACGTGTCAACGCGCTTTCTCGCATAGAGTAAATATTCGTAGACTGTTTTACCCTTTTTAAACACTAACTTTTTTTTCTATAATTGTTTCGACCTATAGGATTTACTATTTGTTATTATTTTTCTATAAATGTTTTTATATTTTCTTTCATCTTTGTAATTATGACTTTTTATTCATTAAAATATTATATTTCCATTCACCTCATTATCTTCTATGATTCGCATGACTGGGACCAGTAAAACCTTAGCGAACGAGATAATTTGACACATTCGACATCTTATTCGTATGATTCGTATTATCCGTTTTGGCCTGTTATATATCGTTGTTGGCTCTAATACCATCTATAACAACCTAACCCCCACTATTAGCAAATATTTTATGGTTTGTTCTATTACGCGTCGCTGTCAGCGTCACGGTTTTAAAACATGTCTACTCGAGAGAAATTTTCACACCCTTATAAGAAATGTTTCATTCCCTCCTCCAATCGAAGTAGGATCTCACAAATGTTGACTTCAAATGTAGAATAGTTTCATTTTATTCTACTTGTGGATAAGTGTGTACGGAAAATGACATGTACCATGAGGTGATCAATTATCTTGTTAAAGATAATTTAAGGTTCTTTGTAATATGTAGGTAACATATCAAACCCGTAAAATATAATAATCAAATAATTATTTTTAAGAAGTGAATTTTAATTAATATTCATTACTTGAAATTTACATTATATTCCTACCTTTTCATATTTCATATGTAATTATTCTAGTATTGTTTTACTTATATGACATAAAATGAACAAAAATATATTTTATTTCAAATAATTAATTGTGTAAATTTGTAGCTACAAGGCTTGATTTAAACTTGAAAAGAAAATATATAAGAAAAGAAAACTTTATTTAATAAAAAAGAAAAGCAAAAGAAAATAATGATAAATAGGTAAAAGCGAAAAGCGCGTCACGTCCATACGTCCAATCCAAAATCAGCTCCCATGTGCTCGTCCCACAGTTTCAGACAGCTAATACATGTGGACAAATAATATTCCCCCACGTGGCATACGTATTCGAGAAATAATTCCCTGAATGCGGGACCAACCTGTTCCTCTGTGCCCTTATTGCCCCTTGATCGCCACGTGGTATGAACTCAGGCACTGTGATTAATCCCAATTGCAGAGTTGCCACGTGCGCGCGCGTGTCAGTTTGTCAATTTTATGTTCGCTATGCCTAATCATATGAACTGTAGGGTACCCCATGGAGATCTAAGACATCGATCCAAAATTTAACGTATTGTTCATTTTTATTTATTTATTATTATTATTATTATTTCTTTTTTAAGGAGTGACTTTAATATGAAAAAAAAAAAAAAGATTCTCGAAACCTTTTTTTCATGTAGATCGAGATCGAACTATTAATTTTTTATATAAATAAATTTATTTCTCATTTATCAAATGATATTTAGATAGATGTAAAAAAATTAAATAGACTTTGCGAGCGTCAACATTCATAGTAAAATTACCATATTGCCCTTCACTCGACTCAACGTCTTCCTCCTTCTACTCTTTTTCTCACTCTCGTTTAAAGTTGATATGCTCGCTCCATTAAATTTACTTTAAACTTTGACTTGTTTATAAAATTAGGTAAAAAAAATATATATATTTGCCTTTCCTTTTAAACCTTGGTTTCAAAATTATGATCCATAGCTACCTAATTATTAACGTAAAGGAAAGACCAAATAAAAAAGACAAAACAAAAAAAAACAAAAGAAAAGTTAAAAGCTTTAAAAATAAAATTGAACACTCGAATAAAGGAGGAAGAGTATATAAATGAATCAAGACCACATCTGAATGCTAGCTATCTGAAAAATAGATTGACTAATAAGATATACCTTTATTTTTTGTGGCTTAATCATAGGAACTCAAAAGTAAAGTGACTCGAAGTTGAAGAAATTTGCAACTTAAGCGTTAAGTTATTTTGTTCTTAGACAAATTTGAAACATGTGGAAAGGAGTGTTTGATGGTATAGATGTTTGGTCAATCTTTCCGTTTGGAGTTTCTTATATGGACATTAATGAAGACATAAAGAATCCCATTATCTGTATCTTTACAACAATTGAAACCATAATTTTTATGTATTTCATGAAAGTCAATGCTCAAATATCCAAGTATTGAACAACTCACCCCACTAG